AGCAAACATCTCGGCGAGAGCAGGCACAGCAAACCCACCGGGCTCCAGACCGGCCCAGGGAGCCAGGGCTTGTGGTGCCGCAGCAGAGCAGCTCCCCAGGGCTGAGCCCCAGGGTGACGGGGACTTTATTGCTTTGTCCTTTAAACTTCCTCAGCCAAGGACTCTGCAAGCTCCACGTCCTCGTCTCAAACCCCCGGCAGGAGCAATGACTGTAGCAAAGAGTTTGACACATCCATTCTGAAAGACCTTCCCATTTACAAAACTTTCACACCAGCAGAAAAAAAAAAATAGGTGAAAAAAAGCAGGTGAGGTGAAAAGCACAGCTGCCGGAAAACACGCCCGAAAGCAGCACAAGATCCGGGCATTGAACCCCCCGCAGCCTCCTGCACTCACACAGACCAAAGACTTCTTTCCATAAGCTCCTGTTCCATAATAGCACAGAAATATTTGGACTTAACAGACTTTCTGTTGAATTAATTCTCAAGGGAATTTTAATTAAAAAAAAAAAATTTCTAGTATTTCTTAAATGGCTGCACACACTGCCAACATCCCTCCTCTTCTGACACATCTCAATGTATTTTAAGCACAGAGCAAAGGCCCCGGGGACTCGGACTGCTGCCAGAACAACTCATCCTCTGGCACCAGCCACCTCCCCAGCCCCAGAGCTGGATGTGTCCCCAGGAAAGGCACAGCCCGAAGCCCCCCCCGGGCAGGGGAAGCCCGGCACGCAGAGGATGCTCCAGCTCACGTCAGCATCCGTCACCGGAGACTCACCGCAGAAGGAGATGATGTGGCTGCTGTCCTCGTGCACAAACTTCCTCGTCACCGCCTCCTCCATGATCTGCTTCACCTGTTGAACAGAGGCCTGGTTAGAGAAAACGGTGAATTTCAGCCACAGAGCAGAACGAGGAGACCTGTGGTGGAGAAGCTCCGCTGGCTTCGTGTCTGAGGGAAACCTCCTCTGCTCTCCACCGGCTCCCGCCGCCTCTGACGGCACAAGAGGTCTCACGGAGCATCGCTGCTTCTCTGCTTGCTGAGCATCACCTGCTATTTCAAAAGCTCAGGTACAAAATAAAGGCTTGTTCTGGTTTTGAGAAACTTCAAAGTAGAAGTAAGAGCAGAGAATTTACTGCAGGAATCAAGCATCATTTGGACAAAAGACATCCTAACAAGGGCAACCAAATCTCGTATTTAATGCTTTACAGTACGGTTATGTTCTTTCCTTTTATGGGGATTTGACAAATTTAATGTGACAGAGCTGTCCCAGGTGACTGGCACCATCTATCAGCACCGGAGTCAATGACCACCCGGCACCAAGCGTGAGCAGGACCTCCACCTGCACAGCGACCCGACCAGCGCCGCCCTGATGGTGCCCGTGCTGCTCACAGCGCGTCACCAGCACCCATCACCGCACGATCAACCAAAAGGAACAGGCTCCAGCCCTGGAGAAGCTCCCAGGACCGCCTGGCCAGCCCAGCGCGGAGCCCAGAGGAGCCCGAAGAGCCCAGGAGTGCCAGAGCTGAAACCCCAAGTACCCCCAGCACCGCTGCTCTGCCCCCAGCGCCTGCCGCCAGCCCCGCTCTCCCCCCCCTCTCAGAGCATCCCTTTCGGACGACGAGGACCCTTTTCAGGGATGCGGCAGGGTCAGCCCATAAACAGGAGCTCAGGGACTCGAGGTGCCTCTCGGGGCGGCAGTGACTTCACCCTCCCTGGGCCTGCTT